CAAGGACATTATAGTCATAAGTAGGAATGACAAAAAAAATCTGTTCAACCCGATATTTTTGGGGGCCCCAACCCGAATTGAGAGAGAATTACTTGCCTAATTGGGCAAATGGGTTATGGACGGAACGAGGGTCATTGCCTTGATGTAAGTATGGGAAACATGTACCAATTGAATTTTAAAGAATATGTACCAAATGATCTAAGTTTAGACTTTATCTTTAAGGAAAGCCTATATTTTATTTAACATTTTAGCTTTAACAAACATGTAAATTGTTGTATGTGTCGATGTATATTCCTTGTTTGAAAATAAAGTGGTTCACAAACTTGCTTCTTTCGTCGAGTTCAAATCTATTAACTATGTTGATTGTAATCCTATATTTATATTTTCACTATATTTGTGGTGAATTGAGTTAATATAATTTATGTTTGCTGTCAACCAAAAAATAATAATTCAACTAAAATAGTACATTGATTTATTTTCAACCCCTGTTTGAGCCGTATTATAATTTGCATTTTCATCATTCTACTCACTTTCAACCACACATTTTCAATAAAATAATATTTTCCATCACATCAATAATTTTTCCTTCTTTTTCAACAACATATTTTCCATCAATCTACTATCCAAAATACATTCTTCCAAAATAATGTGGTTAAGATAAATTTGGTATGAAAACAATGCACAACATTGGTACAACATCAAAGCCAGACATTTTGGGTAACCTACAACATCAAAGCTAGACATTTTTTTATTGTGGGATCAAAAATCAAAATATAATTTTTGAAAATATAATATAACGCTAATGAAAATAAATTAATACATTGCCAAAATTGTAGCCTACGTATTTTCATACTTTGAAAGTATTGTATAATTACATCATTATCAATATTTCCAAATACATCGTTCTCAATATACACCACTAATAAGTTATTTTGCACACTTCTTTGAGCTATTAAATTGGAATTTTTATTATTGATTTTGTTGAATTATAGTTTAATTATGTGTTAATTACATTTGTTAGGTAAAACTTGAACAAATTGACGGAATTGAACATAATGAGCAAAAAATGGCAAAAATGAAGAAATTCAAATTTCGGATCTAAATTGCACACTTTCAATAGTTAATCGGGACAATCTCGATGATGGAAGAATGATTGGATTCAATTGGATATAAGTGGAAGCTAAAGGATTAAAATTGCATGAAAAACGATCTTAAAATGAACAAGAAACAAAATTTGGGGACTGAAATGAAAAAGCTTAAAGTGGCCTACCACACAGCAGAAGAAGCCGACGTACCCGTGTTGAAAAATCTAGGGTCGAACTGTGCAATTACTGTTTGAAGCAAAATCTTCTCCAGTTTAAAATTCTGTCGCAATCAACAAATTTATCATATCAAATCAACAAATTTATCAAGAAGAAGAGGCCATGTTATATTTTGAAAGAAAAGATAGAACTAGCAAGGATTGAATGCCAATCACATCACGAAATTCAACATTGGAATTGAAGATAAAATTTCTTACGTTCACTCATGATCCGGGTAATATTTGTTCATAATTTTTCTTGTAATTTATACAAAATCATGTTAGGTTGGATCCGTAATTGTATTGGATCAAGATGGACCCTAATTTATTTTAATTCAATAGTAGTAGTTCAGTATTTCTTGCGTTTCTTAATTAATTTTGCATTCATAGGGTGTGTTTGAACTACATTATTTTGGAAGAATGTATTTTGAAATAGTATATTGATGGAGAATGTGTGACTGAAAAAGAAGCAAAAGTTATTGATGTGATAAAAATATTATTTTATTGAAGGATGTGTGATTGAAAATTAGAAAATAATGAGAACGAAAATTTTAATGTGGCTCAAACAGTGGCCTATTACATTATTTAATTATTTGGTTATCAATTAGATACTTAGTTTTTTGTTGTAGTGTTGGAAGACCACAATGACTTTAGAACACGACAATGTTAACACATGAGTAATAGGTGTTAGGAAAAACAATATCATGTGTGCAATTGTATAGATAATTTGAATTTTAATGCCTTCATATCATTCGAATTCAGACTAGAAAAAATAATGGATTGTGATTAAAAAAGAATTAATTTATCTTGAAAAAGAAAGTTAAATACCTTAACTTTATCGATTGTAAAAAATGCATGAACGGAAATAAATTATATAATTGCGAATTAAAATAGATAGTGATAGATGAATTCTAAATCTAATATACAAAAAACACTTTTTCATATTTCTTAAATTTAAATTAGAATAATTACAAAAACCAAAACTCTTTTGTGTTACATATTTCGAATTCAACACAAGATCAGAATACTTGAATTGTGATTTATTTCATGTGGAACAATATTCTTAACTCATAATATCTATTAGTTAACGATCTTGTACGTTTGCGATGAATTGTCTGAACAAGTTTTTAACGTCATTGTCAGTGAATAAAGTATTTGATTTGGGTTTATTAGTTTATATAGGATTTAAATTTAATTTTTTGTTTTGTTTTAGACTATTAATAACACATAATCTCTCTTATTTGATTTTTGGCAGTTTTGCAAGATTAAAAAAAAATAAAAATAATAGAACCCTTGCCATTAGATTCCGATATCAAAAAACCTTCAGAAAACTGAGAAAGAACAAAGAGAAAAGAGAACTAACATGTAATCATAATTAAAATCAAATTTAGTTACCATTAGATCCGCAAGCACAACTAGTTTTGTTAAAAGCAGTTGCCAGCGATGGTGAAATATTAGTACGTGGTTATGTGCTTCCTCCTCCAAGTCCTATGCAACCATCTATTATTTACCCACCATTTGGACATGTCAACTTTCACAATCGACAAGATGTTATTATGTTGTTTCAAAATTATCAGGACATCAGGTTCTCTGAAAGACCAACTGAAATCCACATGAACATATACATGCCTTCTTAATGTTTTGCGGAATAATCAATCACTATGGTATGTTAGTAGATGTCTTTCGAATACTCCTACTCCCTCATACTTTAAAGAATGGTGCACGAGAATGGATACATTCACTACTTCCAAGGATCATCGTTTCATGTAATGATATGATGCAGAAATTCATCTTGAAATTCTTTACCCCTTCTTGAGTCCATCAAATCAGAAATGAACTCCATATTTTCAAGCCTAAAGACCTCAAGAGCTATCCAAAAGCATGTGAAATATTCAAAAATTACTTCAGAAGTGCCATAATCTGGATATTCCTAAAAATGCTAAGATCTACATATTCTATTTAGGCCTACAACCTGAATATCGTAAAGTCGATGCTTTAACTAGGGGATCAATAATGGATATGCCCTTAGACAATACCTTAGATCTTTTTTAGAGAATTACAAAAAATCAGTCTATGTGGCCATCTAAAAGGGAAACTCCAAGGAAAAAATGGGTATTCACAACATAGATGCAATTATAGAATGGCAGCCCAGATGGAAGTAATTATAAAGAAAATGGACAATCTAACTCAGAATGTGAGCAGGGTGTACCAATCAGCACCCATCTGTTGAGACCTCAGGATAGATCATACAACTACAAGTTTTCCTTTAGCCACCATGCATGTTTATCAATCTCACGACGTACATATGCACAAAATTTTTAAAGGCAACAGAAAAGTGGCCAGTCTGAAGAATCAATAAAGGTTAATCAAGAAGAATAGTCAAACAATCGACATGTAAAGATAATCGCTTCTGTTAATAAACACACGTCTCTAGTCCGATCTCCTCAAAGGCTACAGAACAATAAGTTGAAAAAACAGTTCAGAAAGTACTTAGATGCCCTTAAACAACGTCATATCAACATCCCCTTCATTTTAAAACATTCTATAAATTCCTAATTATTCTAAATTTTTGAAAGAAATGTTAACCAAGAAGAGAAAGCTATCAGTAGATGAAACAGTGGCCTTAATTGAAGAGTGCAGTGCAATCCTACAGCACAAGCTCCCTCTTAAATTGAAAGATATAGGGAGCTTCACTTTGCCTTGCTTTATAGGAGGTTCAAATATGCTTTAATTGATTCTGAATCAAGTATTAATATAATATCCTTATCTATCTACAAGAAATTAGGATTGAGGGATCCTCAAACAATTTAAATAATTTTACAATTGACTGACAGAATACTCAACCATACTTATGGAATGGTAAAGGATATGCTCATCAAAGTTGGAGATCTTTTCTCTCCACCTAATTCCATCATTCTTGATATCTGCTCAAACACATGCCATTAATTCTAGAAAGAGCATTCTTAACAATTAGATGAGCATTAACGGATTTTAAAAAGAGTGAGAAAATCACGAGGATAGAAAATAAAAAAACAAAGCTTCACTATCAATATTCCAACCAAACAACCACCTTACATTAAGTAGTGCAAAAAGATTGACCATCAAAAAAATAAGGATTGGGAAGTCAATAGAGTCAACAAAGGAGTTGGTGGATTGGTTGAAACAATGAGGATAATAATGGAAACCCTATAGTCTGGAGGGCCAAAGATGAATCAAAGAATGTCTACCAGGGCAGCCGATGCAAGGCTGAAAACTCTCTTTTCAAGCCACTATGAATACCCAAAAGATCAAAGTCAAAGCTAATGATTATAAACAAGAGGTTATTGCGAGACAATCCAATTTTCTCCCCTTTTATTTATTTTTCTTTCTATAATATAGCATTAATAAATTTTATTGCTTTAGTAGTTTAGCGTATCTTCATCCCCATATTTTTCTTTTAGGTTGTGTTTGAATTATTATAAATTGTTCCATATAATGATTAATTTCCATTTATTTTGGAGGAACATACCATCTGGACAGATTGGACAAGGAAAAAGACAAAGCAAGTGATTCAAAACTTTCATGATAGCCCATTCACCACCATCAGATTTATACCATGAGAGTATTTAGTTCCTTTTTTTTTTCTTAATTTTTATATTTTACTCGTTAGATTTTTAGATATTAAGGGTAATGTTTGTTATATGTTTAGGGTGAGAAGCTTAGAGTATGTTATATTTACTATTTTGTGTGCTTATTTGCGTGCAAATATCTGTTTTTACTGTTTTGTATGCTTGTTCATGTGAGAAAAAAATTAAAAATTCAAAAAAAATTAGTTATTTTCAACTTTAATTTTGTGTGTTTGTGTGTGTTAGATAAACTTGCCAATTATGATACCCATTTTTGAAACCATGTGTTAGACAATAAATTGTGAAAAAGTTGTATGTTAGGTGTATTTATGCTTATTCATGTGAAACTTGATATTTTTGCATACAAAATTTATATTTTGCATCATGAACGATTAATTTAATTCAAATTTTGAATAGGTTTAAAAAAAAAGTAGTGAACCGTAGATGCTAAATTCAAACATTTATTAATTATACATCCTTAAATCAATTCTAAAATAGTTTGGAGATGATTAAACTGATTTAGGAAGACATTGAGATAAATGTGATTTCCATATTTGCTAAATTTTGTGTGGATTACTTAAAACCAATAAGATGAAAACTAGTTGAAGATCTTAACAAGTGGAATTGCATTAATCATTACATAAAAAGAAAAGAAAAACCATCTTACTGTGAAACTAACTTAAAAATCTCGATGACAACACTTATTGAAAATCCTATAAAGAAAACTCAAAAAGGGGATCAAGTTAATGTATGAAACAGAATAGACACAGAAAACTTGAAAAAGTAAGTGCATAAAACAGAAGACGTATTATATGCCTTGGTTAAGTCTCAAATACTTATTGGATAGAATGATACATTCGACATGATAATATTAGCTTAGTTGATTCTTGGAGGTTCAAGCAGTACAAAATAACGAGAATCCTCATTTGTTTATGTGTTGAGTTGCAATTATTAAAATCTAACCAAATTAGAAAGAATGAGTATTTGTATATGAATTCAACTTTACATCACATCTTAGGAAAATATTTAAAAGAAGAAGTTTGGGGCGTGAATCTCACGAGAGAAAAAATAATACATTTGACCATTGAGGGTTGGGATTTGAATTATTTTATGAATTTATGTTGCTTTATAAGAATTTTCTTACACACACGTGTTGATTTTGCAATGGATAAATAGAAATTAATTTTAGCAATGTGATTTTGAAGCAGTTCATAATTTTAATACTGAAATTTCAATGTTGAGACCAAAAACAGATTATCTTATCATGTTTGTTTAAATTTTTTGTTTAAGTTATAATTTTGTTTGATTACAAACAAATATTCAAGTTTAGGAGTGTTTCATAAGTGCATTTTTTATACACTTATCTGGGCTATTAAACTAGGATATTTATTATTAATTTTGATAAATTATAGCTTAATTTTTTATACATTTATTTGGGCTATTAAAACTCAAGACAAATTGATGGAATTAAACAAAATGAGTGCAAAACCGAATGAAAAATGAAGAAATTCAAAGTTTGGGACTAAATTGCACACTTTCAATAGTTGATCCAGGCTTAATATCAATGATGGAAGAATGATTGGACTCATTTGGATGTATTTGAAAGCCAAATGATTAAAATTGCTTGAAAAAAGACTCAAGATGAACAAGAAACAAAATTTGGGACTTGAAATGAAAAGGCTTGAAAGTGTCACACATAGCGCTGCTTGTCAAAAAACCACATGAGACCACATGCACCTTGAGCTGCGCGTTCACAGGGAAAGTCCAAGGACTGGCTTTGCAATTATCGTTTGAAGCAAAATTTCCATTGAATTAAAATTTCGACGCGATTTCTACCTTATTTTTGACTCTTCTAAATACCAAACTTGGGCAGAACGGGAACACCCTCTAGCATCTTAATATCATATCAAATAATAAAATTCATCAAGAAGAAGATGCCAATTGTTATATTTTGAGAGAAAATATCGAACACAAACAAGAATTGAAGGTCAATTACAAGATTTTTTACATTCATTCATGATCGTGGTAATATTTATTTATAATTCTTCTTGTAAATTATACGAAATCATTTTGGCTAGATCCGTAATAGTATTGGATGAAGATGAACCCTGTTATTTATTTATTTTAATTCAAGATTAGTAGTTTACTATTTCTTGTGTTTCTTGATTTTTATATTTTCATTACGTTATTTAATTATTTGGTCATCGATTAGATAATTAATTGCTTATTATAGTATTAGAAAACTCACAATAAATTTAGAATTCGGTAATGTTAACACAAGATCAATAGATGTTAGGAAAAATAGTATCGCTTGTACAATCATATAGATAAAATTAATTTATTTTAAAAAAGAAAGCCATTTCAATTCTCAATTATGTAATTTAGTTCCGTACATCCATTGTTGGCAATCGACGGATTCTAAATCCAATACAATCATCATAATTTGATATAAACAACGCTTTATCATATTTCTTGAATTATTTTAGAATAACTACAAAGATCAAAACTCTTTTGTGTTACATATTTCGAATTCAATACATGACTAGTACATTTAAATAGAGATTTATTTTCTGTGGGACAATAATCTTAACGTATCATATCTATTAATTATCAACGACCTTATAAGCTTGGAAATTGTTTGAACAACCACCAAACTATTACTCAATCGTTGATACCCCATCCTAGCAACCGGAAGAATTAACTCCAGTATTACAAGCCCATAAACTAGTGGATGTGTAATTTTTATCATCACAATCGATTTTTCTGCGAGATCACTAAGACCTTTAAGCCTTTAAAATCTTTGCTAATGCTGTTGGGTATTCCCTCCTAGTGAGAGAGCCCATTATATTGGCAAGTGGGCTTCCTTTCCTTGGGTTCAAAACCCAATTTAAATTCCAAGAGGGAAACAAATTGATTCATATGTACACATACATAGACAGACGAGACAAAGAGAAAAACACGAGAGAGAGAGAGAGAGAGAGAGAGAGAGAGAGAGAGAGAGAGAGAGAGAGAGCGAGTTCAGCCTCTTCTTGCCAAAGATCGAAGCCTCATTTGTGGTTCGATTAAAGTCATATTTTAGTATGTTGTTTCTGGCAAAGAGAGCTACGTTTTGACTGGAGTTGATCGTCTATATTCCTTTCTATTTCTATGGGCTTTGCACACTTGTTTAGTGAGATTTTCTCCTTATTGATGTGTGTATCTACTTTGTATGTTGTCGTTGGTTGATATCCAAGGACTAGTTGTGTTCTTGATGTAGTGGTAGCCTTTGGAGTTGGCTCTAGAGAAGTTTTACTGCGTATCCATTATTTTCATAGTAGATGGCTCTTTTACTGGGCTAGGTCTCGGGGTTTTTCTGTTCGCAGGGTTTTCCTCGTTAACAAATTTTGGTGTTCAATTTACACTCCTGCTAGTATGTGTGAGTTGTTGGAGCCGGGCTTTACTCCTGTCATTTTAATTTATGCACATTGAGGGATTGATATATAATTATTTTTGCTGTTTTTGTATTGTATTGGTTCAATCCCCAACAAAGTGGTATCAGAGCTTTGGTTGAGTCCCTGTGTTTGTGGTGAGAATTAAAATGGAGGATTCAGCTATGGTTAAACTCACATCTTCCAATTATTCGAGTTGGAAGACTAGAATGGAGGATATCATGTATTGAAAAGACTTGTTTGAACCCATTGAGTGGAATGTCAAGAAACCCGATTCTAAGACTAATGAGGATTGGAAGAAGTTGAATAGAAAGACCATTGGACATATTAGGCAGTGGGTTGATCAAAGTGTCTTCCATCATATAGCCAAAGAAGTAGAAGCATAAAGTCTTTGGCAGAAATTAGAAGGTCTCTATGAAAGAAA